GTCATTTTAACATTCCTTAGCAATTGGATAAAATACACTTCTATGACTTCGTTAAACTAACTTACCAAATGAAAGACAAAAGTAAAGAGAAAAAAAACAATGAACGAACTAACTAACTACAACTGTTTAAATTATGTAAAAATCAGTAAAAGTTTCATTATTCTTATAAGATTAAATGAATAAATGAAGAAATATAGATAAATCACTAAAAAGTGTAATAATGTAAATGTCTATACACATATACTAAATCACATGTTTTTATTCAATCGGCTGCCCCCCCCTCTGTTACCCCCATCACTCCCACCACCACCACCACCTCTCCCCTACCCACTCTTAACCACAAAACTACAATAATAAACATTCTAGTATTATTATTATTATTATTATCACCATAGTGAAATCATTTCAAACCATCTCAATGGAATGAATATTATACAGAATTACAAATCATTATGATATTGAATAGAATTGAAGACTAAAAATAACCACAGCAACAACAACAATCACACTAATGTTTATTTAATACAAACGGATTATGATTATTATACACAGTTGTTACATTTTTGTCATTTAAGAAAAGAAAAAAGAAAAAAATCTTTTTGCATGCCTTCAATATCATTTTCTCTTCTTTTTTCTTTTTCTTTTTCTTCATTTTTCTTTCTTTTTTTCGTTTACTTACTGGCTTACACATGGATAAAGTTTATGAAATAGAAAGTGAATTGTCTATTGAATAAACTTGTTTAGATTAGCGAATATAAATTCACATTTTTTTTAAAAAGCAGAGATGGATAGTGATTAATAGTGGAATCAAGGATTCGAGTTTCATCCTCTTTGGGACTCGTCAGTTGAATGATTTTTATTATTCTTCTTATAAAAGTTGTCCATTGTGTGTTTTTATACGGAAAAAGAAACAATCATGTCGTTTAATGGAAAGTTTTTTTCTGAGTACGATATTTTGATCATGTACAATGAGTACCTGTAACTCAGAGTTGATGTCAAATTCGGGAGAGTCGAACCCAGTAATGTTCGACTTAAATGCCATGCACATATATCTAGCTGACAACTAACAAAAAGAACGAACACTTGTCCTGTATTTCATTGCTAGCCACTATCCAATCCGCCTGGAGCCCCTCTGGGGCTACTGCAGGTCCCAAGCCTGGATAAAGGAGGAAGGTTGGGTATGGGATTAGTGACCCCATCCCGTAGAAAACTAAATCGCTAAAAAGCGCTACCCAGAAAAACTTATTCAAACCATTTAAAATATGCCATGGGAGTTAGAAGGTCTTCATTTAGAAGAGCTATGACGCCTCATGGTGAAAGCCGAGTTCCTTCGGAAGCTATGAGGATGATGCCAATTCTGATAAATGGATCAACCATTAATTTAGGTACATGGAATGTTCATACAATGTGGAAGACCGGAAGAGTCTTCCAAATTGCCGCTGCACTATCCATCATTGCTAAGAATACTTGTGAGTTAAGATAATATCCAGGCAATATGCACAGTATGCACATATGCAAATGACAGACTGATCAATTGCATTCCTCAATATCAATGGGAAGATTCAAGTACACAGTATCAAGTGAATCCATTCTTTTTTCTTTAAAAAAAATTGAATTTTAACTTTTACTTCGTAGTTCATGTGTCTTAATTATTTACTGATAATACTTATTTACTTACTTACTTACGCCTTTTACCTCTCGTAGAAGAGCATTGGTCGCCCATCAGCATTTTGCATCCAACTCTCTACTGGACAATCCTTTCCACTTCTTTCTAGTTTCTATTTATCCTTTTCATATCTGCTTCCAATTCCTGACATAGTGTATGTTCTTTGACCTTCCTCTTTTCCGTTTCCATTGAGGATTTCAAGTTAAAGCTTCCTTCGTGATGTAGTTCGGTGATTGTAGTATTTTAACACTTGAATTCATGAGTTGATCTAAGTTAGATCACCAATGAACACCTAAAAGTATTAGAATCTTATACTAAGACGAAATGATTGTCCAATGTTTCCATGTTTTCAATGTATTTCTAGATTAAATTGATCTGTAACTCTGTTTAACCTCAATTTTGTTTAACTTTCATTATTCCTCTAATCAATATTAGTTTCTTAGAACAAGTTTGTTAAAAATAATACATAGTTACCATATTAATCAATTGTCGAACTTGCGACGATACGTATGATTCCATACTTACTTACTTACTTACTTACTTACTTACTTACTTACTTACTTACTTCCGCACTTACTTACTTACTTACTTACTTACGCCTGTTACTCCACGTGAAGGAACATAGGCCTCTCAACAGCATTCTCCATCCAACCCTGTCCTGGGCAATCCTTACTAGATCCTTCCAGTTGTTACTCATCTTTTCCATATCTGCTTTTATTTCCCGACGTAATGTGTTCTTTGGCCTTCCTCTTTTTCTCTTCCTTTCAGAGTTCCAAGTTAGTGCTTGTTTCGTGATGTAGTTTGATGATTTGCGTAATGTATATCCTATCCATTTTCATCATCTTTTCCTAATTTCTTCGTCAGCTGTAAGCTGGTTTTTTCCCTTCCACAGTAGGCTATTACTGATGGTATCCGGACAATGGATGTTGAGTATCGTTCGTAGACAACTGTTTATAAATACTTGTACCTTCTAGATGATGGTTGTTGTAGTTCTCCAGGTTTCAGCTTCATACAGTAGGACTGTCTTGACGTTGGTATTGAAGATTCTGACTTTGATATTGGTTGGTGTTTAACTTATATTAGTGTATCGTGTCAATGAAATTCAACAACCTCCATGAACTATCTATACTGATATAGGGATATAGTGAACGATTAGACTTATTTGCATGAGATATCTATTTCAGTATGATCTTAGTCAGGGTAGAATCAAAAACTAGGGGATAATAAACCCCTAAACAGTCTCGTACTGAAATTGAACGGTTGTATCAACAATTTCCTAGTTTCGATAGTATCCTAAGTGAGGTCGATCTATAACGAATACGACGTGTAGCTAATATTAAAAGACGTGTGTTTTCAAGCTCAAAATGTTGAAATTAAGTTAAGTGGGAATTGTATGACACATTTTCTTGTACTCTGTCTGGATTCCATTAAATATTAACGTCTCTTTTTTAATGATCAATCTCTTTTGTGTATTATCAGTATGAGGTTGTGGAGATTATTATGTTTTTGATTGAGACCATGAACCAATTGATGTTAGACCACCATTGAAAATCTAGAAACACTAGACGGCCTTTTTGTCCTATTGTGGGTCTCCTCAACAGTGCATATTCACGATCCCGCTCGCGGGATTCGAAGCCAGAGCCTTCAGTCTCGCGAAAGAACTTTTCACCTCTAGACCACTGAGCCGGCATTCAAAGCTGTATATTTTTTTGCAGTCAACTTTATGAAAGTTAAATTCATCACAAACTATTATCATTAAAAGAATGACTGAATAATAGGCAACACTGAGCAGCTGTATCGTTCGATTCCAATCTTTTTGATCTGATTAGAAACAACTTGATCTTGAATCGAGTATGATACATTTAAATCATTAATTCACCATTGTATGATTCATCTAACCAGGTTGAATTAATTCATGGTAATGCTATGATAATCATTCAATGTTCTTTAGCATTACCGACGTGATTAAACTCCATTGTATATGATTTCCCACTGAATGTCAATGTAATTATTCCACTACTTAAATTATATATCTGTACAGCAATACATAATGATTGCAAATAGGATTTCTTCATATGGTTAGATCAAGATGTATTCATAACAGAATGACGATCTGTTGAGATTGTAGTAATTTTAATAGTTGAATTTATGAATCAATCTAAACTAAACAACCATCGAAAATCTGGAACCACTTAAAAGTCATTTCGTATTAGTATGATACTCTTCAATAGTGCGCATTCACGATCATGCACCGAAGGGACTCGAACTCACATGCTAACGCCTAATCTCTAGACCATTGAGCAGATAGGTATCCAATAGTGTCATTGTCTAACTTCAATTGATCCATGATCATGAACAACACTTCATTCATTGTTTGAGGTAGATACCTGTCACCACCCAACACGTATCGGACTTATTTGGTCACGAATTCACGTCAAACTCCATATTCGTATATTTCCATTGATACCCACTTAGTTTTGTGGAATTATTCACCTAAATTATTTACTTTATTACTAGACAAGTTAAATCAACCAGAATGGTAAAATGGATACAATACTTTAAGTGAAATGAGTGTTAAAAATACGACACACCTCAGTAACGACATAACGACATACACACTCTCGCTCTCTCTCTTCATATATATATGATGGTAGAGTGAAATGTCCAGTCATGAACATCAAATAACTAGAGCATGAGATCTAGACATTATACATTGTCATTATCAATCATACACTCAATTGAACATATGACATTGGGAAGTCCATTTATTTGCGTAAATCAATGTTTACAGTTTAAGTTTTACACATGTCATAATTATTCGGTAAATAAATAGTAGATTGTAGTGCTGAAAATACTGTTAAGTGTATGAGATCTAGTCGTAAATTATTATTAGCCTTTGCTTAAAAAAACTTGTCACTTAAGTCTATTTCAAGACAATCCTCACAGAATGTACATATGCGCCAACAAGAGACTGATCAATTACAACATCAAGTGAATTTAAACTTCAGCCCACTGCACAAACAGGTGACTATTGGGATTCAGTAACTAAATGGATAACGTGATGGTATTTTAGGCGAATGGTACTGGGTTCCAGTTCCAGATTGAACATCAACAAATCTGGGATGTAGGTACATTCGACTGATGAGTCTCAGGTAGGACGAAACACGCGTCAAACTGGATTCCATTGCTATTTCACCACTATCCATCTTTTCATAATTTACATAATATTTTATAAATTACATTTAAAATATAATTCATACTTCCTTCTTTTTCTATTCATCTTTAAGGTAACCTAATCTTTATCTAAACTTATACATACACCATAGTAACAATAATGACTTATGATAAAACCCGCTTAAAATTCAATTCAAATATATCTTATTATAATCATAATAAACAATTTGATTTACCATCATTACTGGCTACTGGAAAATTTTATATTGATGAATATGGTTTTCTTGTTACATCCAATGGTACACGTTATCGTATCCCATCTGGTCCACCAGAAGGTCGTAAACCATTACAATTTAATCAATTACCAATTATTAATAATAAGAATAAATCAATAATTCATTTCAATTATCCAATCAATATAATCAATAAATCCCATGAAACTATTCATATTGAATTACAAGATACTCATAAATTAATCAATAATTCTGATCATGATTATGATGAATATCATCATAATAGTATTATGCCCTCCTCCTCCTCCTCATTATCATTATTACCATTACCTTATATGAAATCCAATCTATCAATGAAACCATTGAATAATAGTTCATCTATGAACTTCATTCATTCAAATCAACATCATCATGATAATCATCATCATCCTAGTGATACATTACATACATTGATTGGAATGTGATCTTATTCACATTGATTATTAGTTCTATATCATTAGTATGTAATATCATTTTAATTGTTTTCTTATCCTATCGATTACATCATCATCATCATCCTCGTCATCCTCGTGATTATCAGAAATGGTTACATCATCACCATCATCATAAATACTTCAATAGTTCGTGTAATCATAGTAATCATGAAAATAAACAATTGACTACTACCAATACTACTAATTATGAATATAAAGATATATTGTGTAATCATCTTTTTAAAAATCAATCAATCCCATGTCAGTGTATTACTGATTTAAACCCAGTGACTAATTGTCCATATGTATATAAACAATTGAAAGGTAACAATCACACTAGGAATACTACTACTCATAAAGATAATAATCTTAGTACTATAATGAATTCTAATATTAAAAACTTATCATATCCATGTTGTAATGTAAATTCTAATTGTGATTTACATTCATCTCTATTACATAATCATAAAAAAAGTAAAAAAATAAATCATCTATCATAAAACAATCGAATCAATATAATGAACATGATCATTTATATTCATGTAATAAATCATTACCATCTAATCATCATTGGTTACTATGCTCTACAAATCAACAATCCGATATTGATTCATTTAATAATAATAATAATAATAATAATAATAATAATGATTGGAAAATAATTCCTAATCATGATATGATTAGTGATTGTAGTAATGAAGATGCCCATGACAACAAAAACAACAACAGTAACAAACAGCACCACCACCACCACCACCACCATAGCAACAACAACAAGAGTAACAACTACTTATCTAATTCAAATATTTTATATACACCATCAAGGTATTCGAAACAACAACACAAATGTATACATCTTCAAACAAATACAACTCAAAGACATCATATATCACAACAACCAATATCTATAATTCATTCATATAATACTTTATTAAATCAATCCCCTAGACTAAGTGATTGTATTAATGATCCAACCACTCAAGAAGACGAAGATAAACAACAACAAAGACAACAAGGAATAGAACAAGAAGAAGATCACGAAGAAGAAGGAGATGAAGAAGAACAAGAACAGGAAGAACATGAACACTTGATAACTAATCCAAAATGTATCATATTGAAAAATTCCATGATTATTTATCATCAATATATTTATATATGTTATACTATAGCAATACATTTAGGTATCCTTGGTATTATATTATCATTATTACAATTATTAGTTATATGTATTGCATTAATACAAAAAACTACCTTAGATACTACCTATGATATAACATATCATCATGAATTTATATGTCTATTATCGAATTCATTAGCCACAGATACACTATTATGTGTTCGTTTATACCTAGTAACTATATTTATATTATGTTCATTTATTATATTCTATATACAAATCATCATGAAAATGGTAATCACCATCATAGATTTTACAAGTTTTCAATTACCTAAATATTCTTTCTATAAACGATTTCTATTTACTATCATACATAATACTACTAATAAGCATACTACTTATAATCATGATAGTAATCATATTTATTTTCAACAAAATTTTGCATATATTGCTTTAATTCATTCAATTCCATGGGCATTAGCTGCTGGTACATCATTATTGATTGCTTTTTTATTTCAAACACCTATACATTCAAATTCATTGATAATCAATAAATCAATATTTAATCATAGTCAATATACATGGATGGAATCAATCAAATCAAATCATATAAATCTATTATTTAATGGATTACATTCATTATTGACATGTTCTATGAAGAGAACAACATCATTATCGGCATCACTGTCGTCGACATCAACTTCTATGAATCCTGATGTCATGACAACTAATACTTCTACATGGATATCATCAATTCTTTTAATTATTATCCCATTATTATTACAAATAATGATGATTATATTATTTATTATATTATTATATATGATTATATCTTATATTAATCATAGAAATTGTATTATATATAAATTAAAATTACCTAATCAATCAATAGTATTGATAATATTGATTTTATTGATCGAATTGATTAGTTTATGTATACCAATTGTATATTATTTTATTATGACGTATTATTCAATTAATGATAAACAATTATTATTTATTACACGTATTATTATATTACATTTTTGTATTGATCCAATTTTATTGATTTATATAATACAAAAATGCCTTAGTAACAAACATATTTTAATGCTTAGTAACAAATTTAATATAATCCATATGAAATCAATAAAAAATAATAAAAATAATCAATTAATTGATTATCATTCATTAGAATGTATTAATAATAATAACAATAATGATAATAATGAAATGAAACCATTAACATCACCTATACATTTGTTTAATTGTTTACCAATGCATCATTCAAATACCATTACTACTACTACTTATACTACTACTAATACTACTTATAATAGTAATAATAATATTCAATCTGTTGTTATGCCATATTTAACTGATTCAGGATATTTTGTATCAACAATCAATAATCATAATAATAATGATAATCATTCACTGATTACATCATCAATCATCAATAATGATAAAATCAATATGAATAATTATATATTACCCATAACAACGGATACAATTGAAGTAACTATGCCTAATATATATCCGAATAATAATATTAATAATAGTAGTATTACTCGTAGTAGTAATAATAATATACATCTAAAAGATTCATCATTATTAACCCCAGTTACAGAAATGAATAATCATAATACATTAATCTATAAAAATATGCATGATGCCTATCCACAATTATGTCAACATCATCAACGTTTATTAGCTGAACAATATAAACAACCAATTATGGATACAATAAAACGTAATCGTCATTTTACTAATGTACCACGTATGAATCAAACGGTAACAACAACACATTTTAATGCATTATCTCTCAATAAATCAATCAATGAATGTTCCAATAATAATAATACAATACCTCATATAATGAATGAAATGGTATGTACACAACAGCATAGTACAGCAACAGCAGCTGTGATGGCAGCTGCAGCAGCTGCAGTAGCAGCACAAGCAAGTACATTAACTAAACCAATACATTCATTATTAGATTCAATACAAATGACACCTAATCCATTATTATTTATAAATGAACAAAAAACAATAGAACAATCTATATCAAATGATAATCAATAATGAATTATGAACAAATGAATGATTAAGATTAAACAAGTGTATAATATCAGAGGATGTTTTGTGGAAATTTTTTAGAAATTTCACTGATTAAAATCATGAATCAATTGAAGTTAGACCATCATAGAAAACCTGGAAGTACTAGATGGCCGTTACGTCCTAGTATGGGACTCCTCAGCAGTGTACGGTAGTACAACTTCGTGGATTAGTTGAAGGTGGACAATAACACCGCTGGATGCCGGCTCAGTAGTCTAGTTGGTTAAGCACCTGACGCAAGACTGATAGGTCGTGGGTTCGGATCTCGCGGGATGCGGGACTGCTGAGGAGTCACATGCTAGGACGAAATGGCAGTTCAGTACTTCCAGGTTTTCCATAGTGATCTAGCTACAATTGACTCATGATTCCAATCACTGAAGTGTATTATAATTCAATGATTCATTCAATTCATTATAAGATGAATATTATTTCTGTATATAAGATTTTTATTCATTCATTGAACTGTGTGTTGTTTCGTTGTTGTTGAACGGATCCATGGACGAACACTTAGCCTTTAGACCAATAATCAGTCAGTCAACTACAGCGTAGGAGCAGGCACATATATGCATCGGTCCAAGTTGCCATACCTCATTAGCACAACAAGATGAACAACAAATTCATGGTAATTAATTCAATGGTATTAATATATAAAAGAAAGATTGTGTATAAGAATATAATACAAGAAGAAAGAATTAGTTTGTAGAAAGAAAGGTATGAAGCAATTTTAATCTCATGGTTTAAAAGAAGATAAAGAGTGTATACATCTACTCTACTGTGATGGATTCTGTGCCAAGCACCAAGAGTCTCCAACCAATGGTTACGATAGTCACGTGGAAACCAACCAAGTTTCTGCATCTACCAAAATGGCTCAGACTAGAGGTTAGTGACGTCAAGTACTGATGCCACGTTTCGGTTTGACCGCCCATCACTTTCTTCGAGCCATCCCCTACACTAGTCTTCATTGAGCATCGTTGTAATCGGTGGTTGGGTATGTGTAATACATTGCCCAACCATCTCAGTCGATGAAGACTTAAAACTTCATCACCTGATTTAGCATCATCATTCCCTAATACCCTGTGTCCAACCTCACTATTACTTAACTAATGATCACAGCAGATGTGAACAATATTTCTAAGGCATCTGTGGTCAATTACTAGTAAGCTACGAAAATCCCCTACTCTTGCCGGACATGTTTTATAGCCGTAAAGTAGGACGAAGCGAACTGCTGAGCAGCAAAACCGTCCTTTGTTTGGTAGACGGATATCTCGCCTACGCTTTAAGTGAAGCGAGTTGGCAAAAGCCAAATGAGCCACACAAGTCACTTAATTTGTGTGTGGACTATGACACTGTCCGGGTGCACAGACGAAGTAGGTGGTTTTCCTAGAGGGCCATATCCGGAGTCTTCGACCTAATGGTCTGGTACACAAGTCGGTGGAGCAACATAAGGAGATGCATTCGCATGGTAGACAGTAACCAACACTATTTGTTCCCTCGGGATCCTGAAGTCCATGTGCTCCATTTGTTTGGAATATAGGTTTTCCAACTTCCCTATGTGTATCCTTCGTACCCACCAAACATGCCAAATATTCGCTTTTCGTCCTTTCAATTTCGTAAACGACACCTGTAGTGCGAGAAAAGAGGGAGTATGACTTTTCTGGCAGTGGTTGTATGTACATGGTCATGTTAGAGCATTTCGAGAGGGAGAGCCGACTCTCCTCACACTTTCTGCACCAGGGCATTTGTAGGTTACATGAAATTCATCAAAAGAAATTGGTTACATTTTCATCAAAACTACTAATATCTGTAGGTCTGAAGAGCACTTTGATTAATATTAGAAACTGAAATATTATCACCGAACCATTCAAGCCTCAATCAATCACCTGTTAGGTCAGTGCACAAGGAAAACTCAACAGAATTCAAGACTTTAGATAACACTTTATACGAGAGTATGCTCATGTACTAAATGAAACAATTTTTGATTACACTTCTGTTATAACGTGTGGCCTTGTTCCCCTATCAATATATCGCCAACTAGAGAACAGTGATTTATCGACCAGATCAATGACGCATAAAACCCGTACGAATAGTTTAGAGTCATTATCGGCCATTCTACTCATCTTGTTGAGTCCAGAACATCAATCTTAACCTCTGTGATATGAATCGAGTATTTCAAACAGTAGGTTTATATATCAACCAGACAGATCACATCGTACTATAAAATAGGGAACAACATTTGTACAAGATTTGGCCAAATGTGGCTGTGAATGTGGGGGGGGGTAGTGATAAAAGACAGGGCATAACTCATGAATGGTAAGTCGTATAGTAATAGTTCATTGATTAAAATAAAGCTTATAATAAGAGGAATATGAATATGAATAAGTTAGTTACTTAACAATTATACAATAATATAAGATCATAAATAGATCCCAAACAGTTACGATTCATTATACTCGTCGAGATGCAACAACATTCATCATACAATACATGTATACCAATACACTTGAATGATAGAATAATCTTTCTTATTCACATTAGAAATCTTGTACATAAACAAAAATGTATTTCGCTTTACGGTTTCCATTTAAAAAAGAAAAAAACTAGGCTAAAGACCACCTATTCTTGTTGCCCAGTGTTAATACCTCTAATCTCCAAATAGAACATAAATGTACATACATATATATATATAGATGTATATGTATATGCAAAGAAGTATGAAAGATTGTATAGGTGTTATACTTTTTCAGACCACATAGTAAGGAAAATGAGACAAAAAAATTAGATTGAAATAAAATGTATAATGGAAATTTAAGCCTTTAAATGCCATGGTACGACAGAGGGTGAGGAGAGTTAACTCCCCTCTTCAAATGCTCTCACATGACTGTGTGCATAGAACCACTGTCAGGAAAATACTACTCAATGCTTTCTCGCACCATTGGTGTTGTTTACGAAATTGAGAGGACGAAATGTGAATATTCAGCAGGAGCTTTAACCAGGTTAGTGGACGCAGAGGGTCTATCCAGGAGAGTTGGAAAACCTTCATGTCAAACTAAATAGTTCACATGGACTTCAGGATCCTGAAGGAATAAATGGTGTATGGACCAATCGTTGGTGACTGGCTACCATGTGAATACATCACCTTACGTTGTTCCACTGACTTGTGGATAAGATTTTTAGGTCGAAGGCTCAGGGTATGGCCCTCTAAGAAAACCACTAGCTTCAGTCTGATCACCCAGTCAGTATCATAGCCCACACACAAACCAAGTGACTTGTGTGGCGCATATGTATTCAGTGCCCCTTTTTACCAATATTTATGTGTTCAAATAAATAAATAATAACTCTAAAGTTTCACATGAGAAATTTGTTCGAGTTCCTTCAAAGAAATAACTCAGATTACTTCATGCAAATATCTCAAATCATATAAGAAATTTGATCAAAGTAGTTTAACAGTATTTGGGTACTGAGTTGATATAATGCAATAAGAAGGAAGAATGTATTTGGAAAATCTCAGTGAATGAGCTTGAAGTAAATCCAACTGTAGGGACAATGAAATGTCACTAATCCCTAGCCTAGTCATTCGGTAGTTGGGTCACTGAATATCGAACCGATCATCGATCCCCGTCAAGGTCAAGGACGACTAACGCGCGTCGTTTAATCGCACGACATGGAGTGGCCCATGAGGCGGTAGTCTTACATTCGCTTGTATCTACTTTAACTAATATATTTCTTTAATAATGTCCTTTGTGTTGTACAGTCTTCAAAGCATCTATAGTACCTCGATAAGTCGATGGGGCAATCCACGTAAGGTGCTGACCACAAGGTGTGACTTCGACATTAGCTGGTTCATCACACCTTTTCTTTCTTAATTTAATAGGCCCCCAATCATTCGACATAGGTCATCTAAACTGGTGATTTACACAACGTTTTGCCTCACAATTTGCTTCAGCTTTTTCAACGAAATATAATCAAACATCAAAATTATTGAATAGAAATAAAGACATGATTCACTGGTCAACTGTATACTAAATAGGTCATCCAATCAACATTAACAATGTTTAAAGTAGTTATTTGATTAAGTATATAATTATCATGATTTACGTACTTCATTATGCCTGTTACTCTCATGGAAGAGCATAGGTTGCTCATTACCATTCTTCATCCAATACTACCCTAAGCAATCCTTTCTAGTTGTTTACTGTTGTTACTCATTCTTTTGATTACTGTTTCCAATTCTCTGTGCAGTGTATTCTTTGATCTTCCTCTTTTTTGTTTCCATTCAGCATTCCATGTTAGTGCATTCCTCATGATGTAGTTTGATGATTTCCTCAATGTATGTTCTATCCAATTCCTCTTCAACTAGAAACTGGTTTGTTCTCTTCCACAGTAGGATGTTGCTGATGGGATCCGGTCAACAGACACTGAGTATCTTATGTAGACAATTGTTTGAAAGTACTTGTACTTTTATGGTAATGGTTGTAGTAGTTCTCCAAGTTTCAGCTCCGTGAAGTAGAACTGTAATTATTATAACTTAAATAAATATCTGCTTTAAAGATTGTTAACATTAATTGACTGACTTATTTAGTGTGCAATGAATCATCTACTTATTTGTATTCAATAATTTCGATTTCAATAGTTGGAATCATGAGTCAATTGAGGCTAGACCACCATGGAAAATATGGAAGCACTAGACGGCCGTTTCGTACTAGTATGGGACCCCTCAACAGTGCACATCTACGATCCCGCGACCCCCCCGTGAGATTTAAACACAGGACCTATCAGTCTCATACTAGGACGAAACGGCCGTCCAGTGCTTCCAGGTTTTCCATGGTGGTCTAGCCTCAATTGACTCATGATTCCGACTATTGAAATTTCTAATATCTCTACAACACCCCTTCTAATAATAATTTTGATGTTTGATTATATTTTGTTGAAAAGCTTGAAGCTAATTGCCAGGTGAAATGTTGGATTTAATTCATATCCATTGGCCTATATTTTACAAATACATTTTTCCTCCTTAATGTATCTCAAATCACCATAAGCAAAGATGGATGTTGGCTAGCATTGAAATCCAGTATGACTCGCGTTTCGTCTTGTTTAGGACTCGTCAGCTGAATGCACCTACATCCTGGAGTTGATGTTTACTCCGGAACTCTTTGATTAGCGGTTTACATTAGTATGCTTCAGCTGATAAATCCTTTTTATATTCAAATAATATTGAAATAAACTAGAAAATAGTCCAAATTTAGAGAATGATTTACATCATTCTTCTTATAGAAGTTCTCTACTGTGTGTTTTCGTACGGAAGGAGAAACAGCCATATAGTTTAATAGACAATTTTCTTTCAATATGATACTTTAACCATGTACCATGAGTAAATTAAGCTTATACAATAAGGTTACTGAATAATAAACAAGGTCTAGGGATAAATTCAGAACAGTGAAACGTTTGTTAACATTAACATT